GATCAAAATAATTTGAGTATGATAAAATGTATGTTAATGATTCTTGAGCACTAAGATATGTATATGTTTATTAAATTCACATACCTTGAATATTTAATGACATTAACAACACATCACAAGTGGATCCTCTTGAAATCTTCTTTCTAATATGCAAGACCTTTGATCTATCGGAGCCTACATTATCAGCTCGTTTAGCCTCGTGAACAAAATAATTCAAACCCGTCCGATAAATGTTACCGACCAAATGAGAATATAGAGTGTTGTCTTTATATTTTTGTCTCAAAACTGTGATGCTCCGACCAAATGATGTATGTATCTTATTATGTTGGTTTTGAATCATGTGGTTCACGGAATTCCAATCTCTACACAGATTTCCCTTACTATTTCCCAACCAATTTTTCAAAGTAGTTAGGGCAGACTCAACTCTGTTAGTTGATGTATTTCCAAGGTGTCTAACAATATCAGTCCATACACAAACAATTTTCTCCTTCACCTGGTTAAGAATTGTGCATTCAACATATTTTTGCAAATCTAGATACTTTTCACATACTTTCCTGAAATGCATAACGAAATCGACATATAGTTCTTTTGTGGAAGAATTTACTATACGATTCCATGCACCCATTATTTTTTCCACAACCACATCCATCGTCACAATTTTTCCATCTTCGGACTCTATCTGTTTCGTTCCTACTGCGGGTTTAACCTGACTTCTCACATTATTTTTCATGTGATACCTACAAAGTAATGCATTAGAAGAAGAAAATACCTTTGCAACCGAATTCATCAAGGTGGTATCGCGGTCGTTAACAATCACTTTAGGCATCTCACCTTGGTCCTTCAACAGTGTCTGATACACCTCTAAGGCCCAAGTAAAATTGTCTTATTTTTCACACTCAAGAAATACAAAACCAACAGAATATCTGTCTCAGTTGAGGTAACACCAACCATCTTCAATAATAGAAGTCTATACTTGTTGGCCTTGTAGGTTGAATCAAGTATGAACACAGTAGGAAACGTGGTGATAACCACTCGAAATCCAAGTTTAGAGGTCTCCATACGAATCCATTGAAACATTTGATCACGAGATTCAAAATCTTGCTCGTTTTTAAATTGGTTGCCAACATCTACCTCCTTCACAGCAACACCTTGGACATTCGTAGAAACAATTTGTTTTGGGAAAACATCGGGGTGCATCATATATAATAAAAACAATTAAAACCATGACAGTATATAAGCGCCACTACTGAAAATAGACTTGAAAAATGAACACGGACTAGTTTCGGAGATGCATCTCCGGACAAATTTATACTCGTTCTGGAGATACATTTTCGGACACAACGTTGGTTTTTCATTAAAAAAAACGTGATTAATGTGAGCAATGTGGTCGAAAATAAAGTTTATCTGAAATTCTATCTTCTTTTGCTCTCTATGATGTGATGAACCATAAAAATGGAGATTTGGAGGAAAAATGGATTGAGAATGAAGGGGTTTTTGGTGAGGGTTTGTGTTGAAAAACAACAATGACAACAATGGTTGTGTGATCATGCAGCTGTTTCTTTTATCAGATTATTTCGAAGATGCAATTTCGAAAATATCTGACATGCAAAGGTGACATAAAACTTCAAAATCTCGCCCAAACTTTCGGAGATATACCTATGAAACTTCTATTGAACTAATCAATAATTAACATATTTTTTGAAATATTTTGAAGATACATCTCCGAAATAAAAACAACCCAACTTATAGGGTGTCACTCAGAAAGGCCTGTGTTGAATGTGTAATGGGTGCGTCCGAAGATATATCTTTGAAAACTGAGAGCATTTTTAAATTTTCACGTGGTGCCTAAGAAACTTATAAGATGCGTTAAGAAATCCTCAAAATTTTAAAAATTATAAAGATAAATATGATAGAGATACATGTTTATAATTGTTGAAATCCAACAAATTCATAACAAATGTAAAACATAACTCATTGACGAATCAAAACAACAAAACCCAATACATACGAGCAAAGAAAATTGGACTCGACCACTAAGATTGCCGAACTCGGACTCACTATCACACTGCGACCATCGGCTCCACCTCAAGGTTGGTTAATATAGAAAAATGAAAATAAAACACAACAAATATTTTGGTGTTAAAAGATAGTCTATAAATTTATAGCTATCATCATCAGTTGGTATAGGTAGCAGCAGGCTCACATGGGGCATCATTGCTTTTGCGTAGATAATAAGTCCTATTATTCTGCTGCCAGGTGTGTGAACTGCATTTTTTCTCTATATGATCTTGATTCTTTTTTGTTCTTTTGGTAAATCAAACATGTGTTTGTCTAAGGTAATATGTGGATTTTACTTCAAATTTGTGAAATGTTGGAATTCATTAATTATAATAATGCAACAGTGGTCAAACATTTTAGAGCTAATTTAAAAATAGTGGTTAGTGGAAAAATTAGAAAAGAATGGATAAGATTCAAACATGTAACATGGGTGTATCTAATTTAGAAAAAACATTAGTGGAGTAACTTTATGAGGTTGAATTATTCTTGTCTTTGTGTTATTATATATTTGCATGTTCTAACAAGTTGAGGAAAATGACATGTCATGTATGAGAGGATGAGAAGTAGACAGATGAACATGAAATTAAAAGTAATGTGAATTAATATGTGAGCATGAGAAGGACCCCATTATGTTTTATGTTTTGTGTTTTTGAGTTGAGAATCACATCATCTACATTCAAGGCCAAGTACCAACCTCAACACATTTCACTTGTCTTGGTGCAAAACACGCTTCATAATTAAGGAGGGGCCACATTTGTTTTAAACTTTTAGGATCACACTAACTATTTCTTTCATAAAAAATAACAGATGGTCTAAAACATGCTCACACATGGTGAAGAGTTTTTGAGGACGACGAACGCAACAACACACCTCGTGAGCACAATGTTAGCTAGACATTGATACGTTAAATTTTTGTAGAATTATGTGCTTGCAGATACAATTATTTGAAGATAATTATGGTGGAAGATGATTCAGAAGGTTTTTATGATGATAACACCTAATATCAAGTAGTGTTCGATAGAATTTTAGAGAATCTTTAGTCAAACAATCTTTGATAATGATGTCTATCAAACAAACTTTATCAAGTCTCAGCAGGTAGAAGAAATTAAGTTTTAAATAAAGTGTTAAATCAATGATGAATTTAAAAGGAGATATTGAATTAAAGGTTATGAAATAGAGGAAGTATCTAAGCTCGTTTGGTATTATGTATCAGTGTGTTGTAAAAATATAAAAGTATCTCATAACATATTGAGGCAACTCTCTCCCTCACACACACTAAAATGTTTTTGAAGCCTCTCATTTTAAAAAACCACCTAAAAGCATTTTAAGTGCGTGTCTAGTTGGTTACTAGTTTGGTTAAACTTCTAAGAGTGTTTTCTACATTAGTTAATCGATTATACACTAGAGTTGATTGATTAACTATTTTGGAATGTTTTTTAATCATTTAAATGAACTTTTAATCGATTAGTGACGGTGAATTTAAAAATATTCGATATTTGGCTTATCTAATCGACTTTCTTTTGGTTGTAATCAATTAGATGTATTGAAAAGCCCATGGATTGTTTTCCTTCTTGAGTTACACTTTCTTCTATTAATAAGAAGTTTCTTCTCGTTTCAAAATACATTAAAATTTCTTTTGAATATTTTCTTTTTCACCTTTTACTCATTTTTTATTATTTCACTAAAGTTGTCTTAGTGTCTCGTGAGTGAGTGAAAAATATTTGTGAGAGATTGATTGTACTAGAGTTCATGCTTAACTGTTCTTCATCAAAGTGTGTGATTTTCTTGTTTGATTTCTTTGGCTCGTGACATTGTCCTAGTAAAATCTTTATTTGACTATTGAGATTGTCTTAGTAAAATCTCAATTTGGTTCTTAAGATTATCCGTCAAAATCTTTGTTCGATTATTAAGAATGTCTTAATAAAATTTCTCTTTAGTTCTTAAGATTAATCAATCAAAATCTCTGTTTGATTTGTAAACTTATCTGTCAAAATCTCCATTTAATTCGAAAGATCAACCAGTATAAAATCTCATTTGTTGTAATAAAGTCCATCGACATATCTTTAAAAGCTCAAGACATTTTATTAGTGGAACCCTCACAAATAATTTTTTAAAAATAAAAATATGATAAGTAATTAGATCGAATCTATATAAATTCTGGTACAATTTCACTATCTCTATTTTTTTATCTTTTATTATTTAATTTTCCTCCTTCTCCAATTCTTTCTCTTCTATTTTATGTTGTTTCTTTGTTTATTTGTTAAACTAACATAAATAATTTTTTAATATAAATTACGACTTTTTAATATCTCAATTCACCTCTCTCATTTTGTGTGTTTAGAATCACTTGTTCAACAATTATATTATTCATACTTACAAATTTTTCTACCAAATTAAATCAAATTTTTATATCATTTATTAAAAAGTCTGTATTTACGTCGTCTCGACGTTACACCCGGACGTGACATCCCTGCAGTATAAAATCTAAAGAAAATCATATCCTTCTCTAAACTGATTGTAAACCCTAAACTTGCTGTCCTGTCCCATCCATGTCATATGTGAATTAATGTGTGCACATGTAAAAGCACCTGATTCTTGTGTTTTCCTCATTTCCCCTAAAGCTTTCTTGTCTAATAAGACACATGATATACAGCAAATCAGCACATATTTTTTCATAGTTTGAAACCACCCTCCACATATAGTCCCACCAAATCAAATAAACTTAGTGCAACCTAATATTCTACCTCACTTGTCCTTTTCCCTTTTTCCTCAAAAATCCACATTAGTATTCCTATACTATATACTATCTTAGTGTCATTTGACTCATTTTGCTCATAAACATTGGCCCTTTCTCTTCTTTGTCACCTCCACTTACTCCTTAACTCTTCTTTATCCTTTATACAACACCCTCTTTCAATATCACCTTAAGAAACACTACAACAATGTTGTCTCTCAAAATGACTGAGATGTGGACAACTATTGGGTCAACCTTAGCAAGCTTCATGTTCATTTGGGCTATCATAAGACAATACTGTCCTTACCAGCTCCTACGTTTCTTCGAAAAATACAGCCATAGAATCATGGACTACTTCTACCCTTACATACGAATCTCATTCCATGAATTCTTAGGTGACAGACTCAAAAGAAGTGATGCCTATGGAGCTGTTGAAGCTTATCTCAGTGCCAACACATCCAAGAGTGCAAAGAGGCTCAAAGCTGAGATAGGAAAAGACAGCACAAACCTGGTTTTAACAATGGATGAATATGAAAGAGTAACCGATGATTACAACGGCGTAAAAGTCTATTGGGTTTGCAGCAAAGTCATGGCAGCTTCAAGATCCATGCCTTATTATCAAGAGCAAGAGAAGAGATTCTACAAGCTCACTTTTCATAAGAAGTATAGAGACACAATAACAGGTTCTTATTTGGATCATGTGATGAAAGAAGGGAAAGAGATTCGTCTGAGGAATCGACAGAGGAAATTGTACACAAATAGTCCTGGTTATAAATGGCCTAGCTATAAGCAAACTATGTGGAGTCACATTGTTTTTGAACACCCTGCAACTTTTGAAACAATGGCTATGGAGCCAGAGAAAAAGAAAGAGATCATTGAAGATTTGGTTACTTTTAGCAAAAGTAAAGATTTTTATGCTAGGATTGGTAAAGCTTGGAAAAGGGGTTACTTGCTTTTTGGTCCTCCAGGTACTGGTAAATCAACAATGATTGCTGCTATGGCAAATTTGTTGGGCTATGATGTATATGATTTGGAGTTAACAGCAGTGAAAGACAACACTGAATTAAGGAAGCTTTTGATTGAAACAACAAGTAAGTCAATAATTGTTATAGAAGACATAGATTGTTCACTTGATCTAACAGGTCAGAGGAAGAAAAAAGGCGAAAGTAAGTTTTTTTCTGATGATGAGAATGATAACAAGGGGAATTTCGATGCGGCGAGGAAGGAGGTGAAGGAAGAAGGAAGTGGAGGTGGGAATAGCAAGGTTACACTTTCAGGGCTATTGAATTTCATTGATGGGATATGGTCAGCTTGTGGAGGAGAAAGGTTGATAGTTTTCACTACAAATTATGTGGAGAAGCTTGATCCTGCACTTATAAGGAGGGGTAGAATGGACAAACATATAGAACTTTCTTATTGTAGTTTTAATGGTTTTAAAGTGCTTGCTAATAACTACTTAAGAGTTGAGAAACATGCATTGTTTGAGAGTGTTGAGAGGCTAATTGGTGAAGTGAAGATTACACCTGCTGATGTTGCTGAGAATCTTATGCCTAAGTCACCAATGGATGATGCTGATAAGTGTCTTTTGAATTTGATTGAGGCTCTTGAGGAAGTGAGAGGGAGGAGGGGTTTAGTTAAAGAAAATGGTGAGTTTGTTGATGATGATGAGAAAGAGATTGATCAAGAAATGAACCAAAATTGTTTGTCATAAGGGTATAATGTTAGGCACATGAATTGTCATTATAGTAACTAGTATAATGTGTTTTAGTATATGGAATCTCTGATTTTGTACTATTTATGACACTAATTTTGAACTTTATTGTATGAGTAACTTGCTAATTTTTACTCTTTTGTTTTCTGAAAACTACATAACAATATTTTTATATTTATTTAAAATAAGTTGAGCAATGTAAAATTATATTTAAACTCAAAAAATGCAAATTTTAAAATTAATTAAATTTTTTATTTATAATTACCAAGTGATATTTATTCTCTTTTTAATTTTGGCTATGTTAGCTTTGTTATGTATAGTCGGTTCTAGATTTCGATAAAAGGAGAGACTTGTGTTAGGCACTCGATAGTTAACGTAAAATTTTGTTGGATCTCTATGACATAGATCAACTATAAAATAATGTGAATGTTATGTTGTTGTCCGTAAGCAACACATTGTATAGCTCGACTATAATGTCAAAGTTGTAAGGATTGCTGCATCACAACTAAGGTGCAGTGAAAAATAAGTAAGAGTTCTCACTTTTTTACGAACGAGTGTGGATAAAGAAATTAGTTCATGAGAGTATGATTCGTTTTGGATCATGGAATATAGGATCTTACAAAAATTTATGGAAATAGTAGACATTATAGTTAGGATGTAGATTAATTTCATATGCCTACAAAAAACTAAATAGACAGGCAAAAAGGCTAAAGAGTTAGACAATTCGTGATTTAAGCTTTGGGATGGAAAATAGTGATTGAACAGAGACTAAGAAAATAGACTCAAGTCATTAATAATCAATTTGATTTTATGCATGGGAGGTCGATCATGAAAACATTCTATCTACTACGAAATATGATAGAGTGATTGAACGGAGATTAAGAAAAAGAGTGATTGAACATAGATTAAGAAAAGAGACTAAAGTCATTGATAATCAATTTGATTTTATGCATGGGAGCTCGACCAAGGAAACATTATATCTACTACGGCATGTGATAGAGCAGAATCAGATAGATCAACAATACTTACACTTAATTTTCATTGGTTTAAAGAAGGTGCGTGACAGAGCGTCTAGAGAGATTTTTTGAAAAGTTTTATAAAAGAAAGGGGTTTAAATTGCATATATTCGAGTTATCCAAGATATGTATGAATGTGTATTGACTAGTGTGCAGTCACAGTGGAGAAACGAACGATTCCTCCATTACAATAGGCTTGCATCAATGTTTAACCATAAGCCTTTGCCTTTATACTTTAATTTTAGATGTACTCACATAACACATCTAAGAACTAGTACTAAAATGCATATTTTTTTGTAGATAATATAGTTTTACTTGAAGAGTCAATGGAAGATTTAAATGAGAGGTTGGAGACTTGAAGACGAACTTTAAAAATGCATACCTTTTGTCGAAGTAGAAGTAAGACGATTTATATGAAATGCAAGTTCAGCAAAAGGAGAAGCGTTTCTAACATAGAGGTGAAAGTTTGTGACCATATCATTTAACAAATCATGCGGTTTAAATATCTTGAGTTCATAATACAAAAACAATAGAGAAATAGAAGGGGAAGTAAACTATTGAATTCAAGTGGGTGGCTGAAATAGAGGATGGCTTTAGAAATTTTATGTGACACAAAGGTACTGCTCTCAAGTTGAAGAGAAAATTTTATCAAATTACAGTAAGACCAATGTTGTTGTATGAGATATAATATTAGATGGTTAAAAACTAACACGATGATAAAGTCAGTGTAGCAGAAATGCGAACGTTGCATTGAATGTGTGGTAAAACTAAACATGATAAAATTAGAAATGACAATTTAGAGAAAGTGTGTGGTAAAACTAAACATGATAAAATTAGAAATGACAATGTAGAGAAAGTGTTAGAGTAACACCTATAGCAGAAAAGAGAGTAAAAAATAAACTTAGGTGCTTTAAATATGTAAAAAAAAAAAATAGAGGAATAAAAAAAAATCAGAGGTAGAGCAAAACCTAAAATACTTTAAAAAAAGTTATTAAAAAAAATCTAAAAATTAATGATTTAAAGAGAAGCATGGTTCTGAAAAGAATATTTGTGGAAATTTGGTTGTTGTTTGTATATTCTTTTTCTATTTGCACCCTTATATTTTATTTATTTTTCTTTCCTAAAATACTCTTGTTCTGGCCTGGGCCCCGAGCTAACTATGCTGGCCCAGCCCAATAATGTTCCACCAGGCCCTATCCAGTCCGGGTACCGCGTCGGGCACAAGATCCCCGACACGCAAGAAAGATCTCCCCGCGAGGAAGACATGTCCCAACCACGTCGGGCAAGAGAATCGCCCGCACGACCAAGCACCGCGCTCCGCGGGCGGTATTCCCCATGCCGTCGAGCAGGACCCCATGGATCTCCCACGTCCACGTGCGCTCCCCTCCTCGGGGAGAACGACGTGCCTCCGGGGAACCTCGCGAGCTCCCCTCCGCGGGGAGAACAATGTGTCATGCGCACGTTCTCCACGTGATCCCCTCCGCGGGGACACGTCATCTCCCAACTGCCCCCCTCCGAAAGAGCAGGTCAAACCCATCTTCCGGAGATCACGTGACAGTTGGACTGGGGCGAAGACCCCGTTCTGGTATTCACTACGCCACGTAAGCCCTAGCAGTCACTTGGGTTGGGCCTGGCCACCTAGCCCAACACAAGTGACCGTTGGCCCAACGCTGGGGTCTCTCTATAAATACCCTCTTCCACAAGAGGGTCAGGTAATTCACTTCTTACCCATTTTTCTGTACTTTGCTCTCGCTCTGTCCAACTCCTTACTTTGGCATCGGAGTGTCTTGCAGGTACACCCCCATTTCTCCTCCTCATCACCGGTGAACAGGTAGCAGTCCAACAAAGTGTGCCCAGCCCGTGATCCCCTTCTGATCAGGTCAGATCAGTGGCGCCGTCTGTGGAAACAGAAACTTCCCCATTACTCCGAGCAGAAAACCAAAGTTTCACCAACACTCCACGATCATGGCTAGCCCACACCACGATGATACCATGCACGACTTCGTGCTCAACGTCGCCGCCAACGGCAGCAAGCAGATGGAGACGTCATGCCCAGTAGAGACCGACGAGAGAGACGGCCAGACTGCTTCTCCGTCGTCCGCAGAACCGCTACGCCAGGCCGACCACCGGCCCCCGAGCCCAGCGGCGTTCCAACCCGTTCCTGTCCCGGCAGGAGCGGACCCAGCGGTGGCCGCCCTCTTTGCGGCCATCAACCAGACGAACCAGCTGTTGTTTCAGCAGAACGCACGAATTGGAGCGCTGGAGCGGGAGGTCCCCCCCGCGGGAAGACCAGAATGAGGGTTCGAGGAGTCCCTCGCCTCAACCCAGAAATCAACGACCCCGGCTGGAGAGGCCCCGAAAGGAAGTAGTGCGGGAGCGCACCAGATCCCAAACGAGACAAGTTCGAGGGAGGCGGCAGAACACCTCAGCAGTTCCGACCGGGAATCCGCGCGTCGAACCCCCGGTCAGAAGGCCGAGGATCCGAAACCAAATGCATATCCTAAACGGCCCATCTCCTCCTCGGTCACCCGCTCTCAGCGACGAAGACAACTACCGGACTCCCTTGTCCCGAGAAATCATGGCCGCCCCCATCCCCCACGGGATGGAGAAGCCCTCGACGCTCTCGACATACGACGGCACATCCGACCCGGATGATCACCTGCAAGACATCGAGTTCATGCTCGATTACCGAAACGTCCGAGGAGCTATCAAGTGCAGGCTATTCCCGACGACCCTAAGGAAAGGCGCCATGACATGGTACAAAAGTCTGGAGCCCGAATCGATTACGTCGTGGAGGGTCCTGAAGGACCTGTTTTCAAAATACTTCACGGCGTCCCGACGCCACCCGAAGACGGAACCTCGGCGCAATAATCCAAGCCCCCGACGAGCCTCTCCGAAAGTACATCGAAAGATTCACCCGGGAAGCGGTGCAGGTAACGACGCCAGACGAGATGAAGCGTTATCTAATGGAGCAGGGTCTACGCCACGACTCCAAATTCTACGAGGCCGTGGGCATACACCGGCCAACCTCCCTGCAGGATTTCCTCGACAGAGCCGCACATTATATCCGGTTCGAGGAAACTCAAGCAACCAACTCTGCACGAGACACCCGAGACAGGGAGGCCCCCCGTGGGCACCGAGATGACGGAGCCTCGAGCCAGCGGCGGGGAGGTGACCGCCATCGGGAAGATCGCCCCCGCGAACAGCGCGAGCAACGCGGCCCCGTCGGCCGATTCACGGAATACACGGCCCTAGTCGCTTCCCGCGAGCGCATACTGGCCGAGTGCGCCAAAACCGAATTTGCCCAGGGAGGTGTCCGCTTCCCCAGGCCGACGCTCCCCAAACCCAATGTGGACAAGTCGAAATACTGCCGATTCCACAGGAGCCACGGGCACGTGACCGAAGACTGCATCCATCTCAAGGACGCGATCGAAATCCTGATTAAAGACGGCCACCTAAAGAGGTACACCCGGGGAGGTGAGGCCCCGAGGCAAGAAGCCCCCGAGGCCAAGAAGGTCGAAGAGTTCCCCTCTTCTGACGGCGACAACAGACTCCAGGTCGCGTTGTGTGTCAGCCGCCCCGAGGACTGGTTCGCGGACAGAAAGTTCGGCCTCCCCGACGGCCCCGACCTACCCAGCAAGCCGGTACGGCCAACCAGCCGGTGGGAATACTTTGCTAGAGCCATGGTCATATCGGGCGGCGCCACAAGGAACCTGTCCATAGGATCGGTGAAAAGAAAGTTCGATAAGCTTATCACGAGCAACTCCGGTAAGATGAGCACGCTCGAAAGATTTCGCGGTCGATCTAATCCGATCACATTCTACCTCGAGGAACTCCTCGAGGGATCCCCCAACTCCAACATTCCCTAGCTCATACGGGCGAGGATGGCGAACTTCGACGTCAGGCGCATCCTCGTCGACGGAGGCAGCTCGATGGACATCATGTACACCCACCTCTTCACGACCCTCCAACTCGACGAATCCA